TGTGTTTGTGTTTGTGTTTGTGTGTGTGTGTGTGTGTGTGTGTGTGTGTGTGTGTGTGTTTGTGTTTGTGTTTGTGTTTGTGTGTGTGTGTGTGTGTGTGTGTGTGTGTGTGTGTGTGTTTGTGTTTGTGTTTGTGTTTGTGTGTGTGTGTGTGTGTGTGCGCGGAAGTGTGTGTACCTCAGTAGGTTATGACTGAGAAATTCACAGTTAAATAAAAAGGAACCAGAGGGGTGTCTTAAGATCCTTCCAGTAATCTCTTTCCCAATGCATTATGGATTTTTATCCAAACTGTGGGTCTTCAAACTGATCACACACTCAGCCTCTGCTATCAGAAAGTCTACACAGACAGAAACCAGTTTTAACCAGCATAAATAATTCATTTAATTTATAGATCAAGCAAACTTAAAATGCCCATCTTCATGAATATATTAAAATGCTGAACGAGTTGTATTAATAAAAGATGATGGTGATATACTGAGTAATAATCAAATGCACAGCGGCAACTTGAATTTCTAATGAGATGCATGCATACATTTGTGAGTGGTGTTAAATATGAAATATATATTGTAATAAATATATAAATAAAGAGATGTAAAATAAATATATTACATTAATAAGTAATTAAAATAAATTTAAAATAGCAAGTGTAACATCGCTTTTATACAGTCCAATAATTTTATGAATTTTATAAACAAGACATTAATAACTGCTGGTTAAACTAAATGTTATTATATTATATTATATAAAATATGAAATATTACTTATAATTACTAATAATAAATTAATAATATAAAAAATATATAGAACGTATAAAAATGTACACACACACACACAAACACACACATATATATATATATATATATATATACATACAACAGTAAAATAATTATATTCTATAAAAATCATATGAAATATTACTTACAATAACTAATAATACACTAATAATAATAATAATAAATAAAATAAAAATATATAGAAAGCATAAAAATGTGTGTATATATATATAATAATAAGAATAATAAGAATAAATAAAAATATATAAAAAGTATAAAAATGTGCATATGTATGTATATTTAAAGAACAATAACACATTATATTACATTATATTATATACTGTATACAGTTGAAGACAAAATTATTAGCCCCCCTTTGAAATTTCAGTTCGTTTTCAGATATTTCCCAAGTGATTTTTAACAGAGCAGGGATATTTTAACACAGTATTTCTTGTTATATTTTTCATTTGGAGAAAGCTTTATTTATTTCCATTTGCCTGGAATAAAAGAATTATTTAAAAAATACAAATAAATTGCTACGGTCAATATTATTAGCCCTCTTAAGAAATGATCTGTTTGATTGGCTATGGAACAAACCACTGTTGTTCAGTGACTTGCCTAACTAACCTAACTTGCCTAATTAAACGAATGAATCCTCTAAGCCTTTAAATTACACTGTAAACTGAGGATTAATATATTTCAAAACAACTAGCAAAATAATATGTACTGTCATCATGGCAAAGACAACAAAATTAGTTTAGACTTGAGAAAAATAATTGTTAACGCTCACAAAGCAGAAACATATACACATTTATCAAAGCATTTTCAAGTGTCAAGAACAGCCGTGAGAATATTATCAAGAAGTTTGAAGAGACCCACATGGTGGAGAACAGAGAATAATACACTAATAATAATAATAATAAATAAAATAAAAATATATAGAAAGCATAAAAATGTGTGTATATATATATAATAATAAGAATAATAAGAATAAATAAAAATATATAAAAAGTATAAAAATGTGCATATGTATGTATATTTAAAGAACAATAACACATTATATTACATTATATTAATATTTCCAATTTCATTTTAGATTTAAAATAATATGAATTAGTACTTATGATAACTAGTAATTCACAAAAAAATAACTTAATAGAAAAATATATAGAAATATAAATATTAGACATTTAAATCTATGCAGACAAATATTGTGTGACTATTCGTCATTATCAGTCCCACTGGCACACAGTAAGCTCAGCTGCGCTCTCGTGATTACTGACTGGAGGTCAGTGAATCTGCACTATTAGACTGCAGTGACTCTGACCTCCAGCCGGTGTGAAAATAACAGGTCACTTCAGATGCGGCTCGGAGGCAGATGAAATCAACGGAGCAGTAGATTGCCTGGAATCCAGCCAGGGTCAGGCTGGAAACCTCCCTGCATTGCAGCGGATAACATATCTCTCAATTCACAGGAAGAAAAGGGCTTTTCTCTTTATGCAGAAACATTCGCATGCGACTGGACACCTGAGCACTGTTTTCCCCACACAGAGGGACACTTTTGGAGAGGATTTGTTGGAGAAATGGGAAAGCAATCATGGCCTTGTAGCTTTCAGGATAGGGGAGGGCCAATAATCAGCTCAGCTCTTGTTCCTTCTGTGGGAATTCATTGGCTTCTCTGTGGACCAGAAATCAAGGGAGCCTAAGTGGATGCTCCACAATTTCCTGATTATTCATTCCAGCTCTCTTCTGAATGTCTAGAGCTAATTGTTTGTAATTTCCCAACGGTCCTGAATGCTTGTATCTTCATTTCTTAAAGGAATTTACCTTAAATACAACTTAAGTTCTAAATGATTCCATAATTACCATAAAAGAAAATCATTTTAATCACTCTTTTATTAAATTCAAGTGCTTTAACAAAAACAAAATCTTCCCTTTTCATTGCCCTCCATTGTATGGCACTGTAACCATGATATATATATATATATAGAATTTTAACACAGTATTGCTTATTATATTTTTCATTTGTAGAAAGCCTTATTTATTTCAATTTGCCTGGAATAAAATAATTATTTCAAAAATACAAAAAATTGCTAAGGTCAATATTATTAGCCCTCTTAAGAAATGATCTGTTTGATTGGCTATGGAACAAACCACTGTTGTTCAGTGACTTGCCTAACTAACCTAACTTGCCTAATTAAACGAATGAATCCTCTAAGCCTTTAAATTACACTGTAAACTGAGGATTAATATATTTCAAAACAACTAGCAAAATAATATGTACTGTCATCATGGCAAAGACAACAAAATTAGTTTAGACTTGAGAAAAATAATTGTTAACGCTCACAAAGCAGAAACATATACACATTTATCAAAGCATTTTCAAGTGTCAAGAACAGCCGTGAGAATATTATCAAGAAGTTTGAAGAGACCCACATGGTGGAGAACAGAGACAGGAAGTGAAAGATTTCAAAAACTTTGTAAAGAAAACTATTGAGAGTGGTTTCTAAAGACCCAAGAACAACTGCCAAGACACTAGTGAATGATTTAGTCAAGTCTGGGATTGATATCTCAACGAAGACGGACACTAGAGGCCCGGACAGGAATGGTCTGCGAGGTTGCCGACCAAGAAAAACTCCTCTTCTGAAGAAGAAACACCTCCAAGCTAGACTGAAGTTTGAAGGACAACCTGGAGAAAAACGATGTATACTAGAAGCGTGTCCTTTGGTCAGATGAGACAAAAGTAGAGCTCTTTGGCCATAGAGATGTTGCCTATGTTTGGAGAAAGAAGGGACAGGTGCTCAACCCAAAGAACACGTCTCCAGAGTCAAACATGGAGGAGGGAGTGAAATGCTGTGGGGATGTTTCAGTGCGTTTGGAACTGGGAATCTCGTCAGGGTCAAAGGAATCATGAAAATGGAAGACTACGAGAAGATTTTGAAAGAAAACCTCAGGCAATCTGCAACAAAAGATGGTTTGAGTCGACGTTTTGTCTTCCAGCATGATAGCAACTCAAAGCATACCTAATTTCTGGTGTAGAACTACCTCCAAATGAATAAAGTAAACATCCTTGACTGGCCTGCACAAAGCCCAGACTTGAATCCAATAGAAAATCTGTGGGGCTCACTGAAGACCAGAGTCCATGCCAGGAGACCAGAGATTTGCTGAGGAGGAATGGGCTGCAACTCCTCACGAGACATGCCTGAAACTTGTTGAGAACTACAGCAAACAACTAAAGGCTGTTATCAAGCAAAAGGGATACACCATTGACTACTAACATCAGAGGGCTAATAAATTTGGCCTGTAGACTTTTTTATTCTTGGTTATAATTTTGTTTGTATTTGTATTACAAACATTCCAAGCTTCCTAAATAAACTATTATGTTTAGAAATGCTGTGTTGAAAAAAAAAAAGTTTCTCTCTGTTAAACAGCACTTGGGAATTAATTTAAAAAATAATATAATAATTATAATAATAATTTTAACAATTTATTATTAATAATTAAGAACTAATAATTTTGTCTTCAACTGTGTATATATATATATATATATACATACACACACACACTATTATACTATATACTGCTTTTATTAATATTTGGAATCAGTTTTTAATTTAAATTTTCTGTTTTCATTTTAATTTTAGTTAAAGTTTTAGTAATTGTATTCTTTTTGTCATTTTATTATATTATATTATATTATATTATATTATATTATCCAACATCTGACCAGCATATTCAGTTTGCTAGTTAAAAATTAAATGTCATTTTGTTTTGTCAATTAATCAGTTTCTGGCGAGTAAAAATGAACATTCTAAAGGGAAAAGCATTTGTAAATGTATTGCTGCAGTAGATTATGCATCATATCATAAACAAGATGAATTATTATGAATCCATGAATCCAACCCACTTGGAATGCCCACAAGTTTTGACACAATTTTCCACACATAATTTTTGCGATTTATGTCCCTGTATGTGGGCAGAGAAAAATCATTGAGAAGAGGAAAATTGCTCACAGTTGCTATTAACATAATTTTGCACACACTCGCCTGCTGTATCTGACAGTTGCTGAAACTTTATGCTGCATTGGCCGACTATTCATTTGCATAAAGTTGAGCTTGACTTTGTCACATACTGTAGCCAAACAATCTCAACCATCCCACATCAAGAGTCACCTTCGCTTTTGCTGCCTCAAATCACCAGCATCAACAACTTCAGTT